CTCTGTGCTGTCTTTCAGTCCAGCTTTGTCCAGCCACTGGTAGGATTTTTCAATATCAGCCACTTCTACTATTTGACGGTGGTACATACCGTGCAGAGGTTTGTCCTTCCATGAGGGTTCCTGCTCTTCCTTCCCTTGTTCTTCTGGTTTCTGCTGCCTGAGGTACTCACTAAGCATGTCAGCACTCGGGGCCATCTTCCTGATGTATTCATGGATCTTTGTTGTTTCATCCTGAATAGTGGCTCTGACGCTAACTAATCCTCTGCCTCCTTCCTTCCACTTAGTGTACAGTCTCAGGATGCTGAACTCGCCGTGCATTGTAAGGAGCTTCCTTGTCTTGATGTCAGTGGCCTCTATCTCCTCCTTTGGCCAGCTTATTATGCCAGCGGGGTACCTGATGACCGGCAGGGTGTACTGTAGGTGTTGATCGCCCGGACTTCTCAGGACTCGCCTTACTCTCTGCAGGTACTTGGTGGTTGCTGCTTTCCTTCCAGCCTCTTCATGGTTCCCATTAGCCTGCGGGATCCCATGGTACTTGTAGCTGTCCTCAACATCTGCTATGTTGCCTTCTGGTAGTACAATCTCCTCAGTTCTGACTACCTTCCCTCTCCTCGTTACCATTCAGCCACACTTATCCTGTCCAAATGGCATTCCGATGTCCTGGCTGTAGATCCTAGTGGTGTGGATCAGTGAATCGATGTCTCGTTCACTCCTGGCATACAGCTTGATGTCATCCATGTAGAGGAGATGGCTGATGGTTGCTCCATTCTGTATTCGGTATCCATAACCACTCTTGGTTATGATCTGGCTGAGGGGGTTCAGCCCTATGCGGAACAGAGCATCTCCTTGGTAGATACCGCACTTGATGTTGACTTGTGCAATAGGGTTGAATAGGCCTCTAGGGTTGTTTTCCACATTCCCATTGAGTTCTTGATGAACCTGATGGGAAGTGGGCTACTGGAACAAGACATTCACCTAACAACGAAGCAACTAGTAGCTCAGTGCTATAACACCCACAAGAAGCGCCTGCTATCACAACTAGAGCAGTATACTTAGTCTTCACTACTTCAGCCAGTAACCCGCTTCTTGCGGATGTTATAGCACTGAGCTACTAGTGTAGATGTTGGGTTGTGAAGTATCCGCATGTAACCCTCTCACCGGGATTAGCATTCCAATAGTTCCCTGTTCTCCTCTCTTGTCCATGAATGGATGGTCGGTGTGACTCTTATTTAGACAGCTCTCGTTACGGATGAGGTAGGCAGATAGCATTAAGGGCCTTGCCTAAGGCCCTTAATGCTATCTGCTATCTGCCATATCCTGTATATGTATGTATGTACTGTATGTACTGTATGTATGTGTGTGTGTGTGTGTGTGTGTGTGTGTATATATATATATATGTGTGTGTATATATATATATA